GCCCGTCCCGGTGCGGGGGCGGCTGGGGGGCTCCGGTCTGTATCGGCCTTTCCTGCTGGCCCTGCGGCCTGAACCTGCATCTGGAACCTATGTATGGGGCCTGCATATAGGGCCTGCACAGAGGGGGCTACAGGCCAGGCCTTCATATAAACCAGGCCCCCACACTAGGCCTGCGGGTCAGAGCTAAATACAGACCGGCCCTAAGTACAAACTGGGTCTAGATACAGCCTAGGTCAACAGGCTGAGCTCATAGGCAGGACCTAAGTATGGGCCAGAGCTGGGGCTAAATGCAGGTGGGGCCAACAGACTGGGCTTAAATAGGGCCTGGGCCAGCAGCGCAGGGATACCGGCCAGGCATAAATGCAGGCCAGGTCTAAATACAGGCCAGGCCAACAGCCTGCACCCACAGATCCAGCCTAAATATGAACCAGGACTAAATGCAGACCAAGTCTAAATACAGACCGGGCCAGCAACCTGTACCCACAGATGAAGCCTAAATATGAAGCAGGACTAAATGCAGATCAGGTCTAAATACAGACCGGGCGAGCAGCCTGCACCCACAGATTCAGCCTAAATATGAAGCAGGGCTAAATGTGGGCCAGGATTAAATATGGGCCAGGACTCAATATGGGCCAGGACTCTTTTTTTTCCTGATCTTTGCCATTGCACAGCCCCTGGGAACATCCCCATCCCAGCGTGGCTGCCTTCCCCCAGCCCCGTACCCCTTACCCTGCCCTGATTCCTGCCGCCCAGCACAGGGCTGCATTTCCACGCCTGCTCCTTCAGCTCAGCGCCCAGTTTTCCCAGTTCGCCCAGTCCTCATCCCCTGCAGGACACCTCCGCAGCACGCCCCGCTGTGACAGCGCATTGCCCCGGCTCCGGGTGGGATCGGAGCTTCCCAGGGTGCGGGAGCGGATGCACGGAGCAGCCCGGCAGCGGGAGCCGGCGAGGAGCTGGGGAGATGCCAGTCTCTAGCTGGCACACACCGTCCTCGCGCTGTAGCTAAACCTCCCGCGTGAAGCGTGGCCAACACCAGATGTTCTGATACCGTTTAGTCAGGCTCGGGGGGGAAAAAATCATGGGGATGCAGAAAAAAACCTTACTCAGGGAGCTAATTGATATTCCATGTTTTGAGCCTATGAACGCCCAACTTGAGTCACGTGCTTGGAGGGTTTGGGGTTTCTTTTTTCTGCAACCATAAATGGCAGAAAGAAATTCACTGAGAAGAAAATAAGTGAGGTGCATATTCACCTGACTCCGGGGGCTGGGACTTGAAGAAAACCTTCAGTAAATCTTCAGTAAAAGAAAACCTTTGGGACTGCCATGATCTCTGTCTTGCCATTCGTGCAGTGGAGGGATCCCCGTCCCCTGATGGGATCTGGCTGAGGGTTAGGCACCTCATTCAGATTTTATGTGCCCACGTAGGCTCCTTCAGTGGTTGTAACCAACATGGCAGGGCCAACAAGGCGTGGGGAAAAGGTAGTTCCTCTCGCCCATCTCAGAATGAGAGAAATTGGCCTCTAAAAGTGCGCTTCTGTCTTCACCTGTAAGTGACCAGTGCAACCATAAATGCCAGCAAGAAATTCACTGAGAGTGACTGGTGTCGGCTGGGGCCCCGTGATCTGTATGGCCTCCAAGGCTGCGGATCACACAGAACTGTCTGGACCGGCCTTAGATTCAGGACTCGATACTATGCAGGGCTATAAAATGAGAAGGAATAACCAGACCTAGACAAAAAGGCTTCTTGGTTTAAGTGGTGTGGAGATGGATCGTGACAAAAAGAAATAGCCATCCTGCCAGACACAACGAGGCCACAAGTGGGGGATAAAAAAAAAAAAAAGAATTACCCTTGTAAATGAGACTCAAATAGGAGAAAGTGAATCAGCATCCGAGATGTATTTATGCTTTAAGGTGATTATCTCAGCTGCCTTCATTAACATGGTAACAGCAGACTCTGCAAACAGGCACGGGGTAATGCAGTAGATTTCGCAGAAAACAGCTGCCTGGGCGAGTGGGATTGTTCGTGGAGAGTGAGCGCTGAAACTGCTCCTTGCTGATTCAGCCAAAACAGGATGCGGTGATTGCGCTCCCCTCGTCTTCTTTAATACGGAAAGCGCTCAAGCATAATGGCCACGCAGTCGAGATCTGCAAATGCCGAACAGACAAACTCCTTACACATGTGATTCCGGGGCTTCCATTCAGCATCTGTTCCCCTTCCTGCTCGAGCCGCTTGAAAAATAGCAGTTTGTTTATTTGCTGCACAAAAATTGTTAAAATAAAAGCTGGGTTAAAAAAAAACCAAAAAAACCATTATTGCTGGAGCAGCTGTGCTGTAGGCAAAGAGAGAGGGGAGCACCGCTGTCCCTCCCTGCAAGCTGCTGCTAAAGCCAGGAGGAAGACTCGGCGGCGGCAGCTGCTCCTGCTGCAAGTCCCCAAGAAGCCCAGGAAGAGCTTGGGGGGTGTTTTAGGGATTCCCAAATACCCGGCGCCCTCCCAGGGGTATTCATGATTCCTTCCAGCCTTTCCCTGCTGGGATCGGTGAGACTTGCCGCCCCTCCGTTTCCAGACAGAGAATCACAGGAATTAGCAGGGAGGTGCACGCAGGGAAGACGCTCGCCCAGGGCAAGCCCCCACCTCATTGCCTGCACCCCAACCATGCCAGGCAGAGAGCCATGGGGAGGGCTTAGCTGCAGGGAGACGGTCACCCCCGAGGGACAGGTGATTCTCTGCACCTCTCATACACCTCTCTGCAGTACATGGCCCAAATCATGCGCTAAGGGGGGTGATTAACCCCCTCTTAATTAAGAAGAGTCATGCCAAGCTGTGCCCGCGCAGCCATGCTTCCGCTGCTGCATGGGCTCACCCCCAGCTTCCCACTGGCACCCATGGGTTCTGCTCCCCTGGGAGTTTTCTTTCCTCCTCTGGATTCTTTGAAAATGTAGTTATTGCTGAAAACACCTCCACGTAGGCGTTAACACTGGGCTCCAGCGCTGGAGGAAACCCAAACTTGTCTGATAATTTTGCAAAAATGCCCACATTTAGGAAAGCAGAACGGTCGGGGATTTGGTGATTGCATGGGTTCGCAATTGCTGATTCTTTGTGCCCCTTCTTTCCCTGCACTTTAAAAAGCCCTTCCCTTCATCCTCACGGCTCATCTGGGGCTGTCTTATCCATGGATAATAATCACCAGTGGATTAGGAACTCACTCCTGCGTCCGTGTTGTCCACAAATGCGTCTGGGCAGCTCCCCCCCAGCTCGAAGAGCCCCGGCAGTCTCTGAGAGTGGAAAAAGCAAAGTGGGATTGAGAAAGCAGGGGCCTGGTGGCACTGGCTAATTCCCAGTGTTTATGGTATTTCTCAGCCATGTACCACAAGGTGTCTCCAGCAGTACAGGCATTGCTGCCGGGTTTGGAGGTTGCACCTCAGCATCTTCCCCTGGGCTGGGGCACGGCAGGGACCCTCGCAGGATCCCTGCTCTCAGCTACCCCCAGCTCCACAGTCTTACCAGTAAGAATCAGGTGTCCGTCCTTCGTTAGCTGAGACACTTAATTGCTGAGAGCAAGCAATCTTCATGAGGGTGAGCTGAAGCCAAGATTTGTCTTCCTTTTCCTTGTCTTTATTCCCCTGTGGTTTACAGTTTCCTCCTTCCTTTTTTTTAAACAAACTTCTTTTACCTGATTTTTAAAACACTCGCCAGCATGAATTAACTGCCAAAGTCCATCTTAGTCAGTTAAAATAGGATATTTTTATTTATTTGAAAGGGCAAATGGTAAAACTTCATTTTAGCACCCGTGTCAGACCCGTGCGCTCCGGCAACCTGACCCACAGCCTGGCAATACAGATGGCTGGTTAAGTCAACAGGGTAATTTGTGGGTGACAGGACGACTCACATAAATTAAGAGCTGGAGGAGCATTAAATCATAGGCTTATACATCCACCATTTCCTTTTTTTTTTTTTTTTTTTTATTTTGCCAAATACACTGTGTTGTCTTTTCTGGTCAGCTTGGCACTATACCACTTTCAGGAGGGTATCCTATAAATGCATACATGTGCACCTACACATGGATAAAAATACACGCAGCCTCACTCATTTACACTAGTATTACTATTAACACACTGATGGCAAATCACCCGAGATCCTCTTGACCATGCTAAGGGTATGTGTGTATATATATATATATGTCTCTGTGTCTCTCCTAAAGGGTTCCTCTTGCCTCACTTCATCGAAGGGCTCTGTGAGTAACCACTGAAGCAAGAGGAAGAACATATGTCTTGATTTCCACTGTATTGCACTGTGCATAACCACTGCCGCTTGGAAAAAGGACCCGTAAAGACCTGGATTTATCTCACTTAACTGCGTCGGCAAAGGAAAGCAGCCAGGGGATGGTGCAGCCTGGCTGAGAGCAGGAGAAAGCGTCACCGGAGGTCCCAGCCGTCAGGGACACACAGCAGCGAGGTGCTTCAGC